ATCTACATGGTTGAAAGCCATTGTGTCTTTGCCACCTGGGAGCAGGGTGGAGTTTTGCCCTCTGAGCTGGGCATGATTCATTTACCCATACCTTCAAGGTCCCATACGGGGATCCCCAAGCATTATTTCCTTCTATCTAGGAACTATACTTCGATTGATGCAGCCTAAAATTGCATTGACATTTTCAGCTGATGCATCACACTGTTGACTCATGTTCAACTTATTGCCTATTAGGATTCCTAGATCTCTTTCACATGTACTATTGTTAAGCCAGGTTTTCCCCATCCTATATATATTCATTTCTATGATTCTAACTGATGCTGAGGAAGAAAGTCTTGTGGCATAAATGCACTGGAGGTGGACCTGGGTGAAACCTACATCCCATTTTGCCAGATTGGTTACTCTTCATTGGCTATTCTTCCAGTCCTCTGAAAACTGTGTGGGCTTCTGGGAAGGAGAAGAAGGTCGGGGCACTGGAGAAAATGCAGCCCAGTCCATTCCTGCCCGCTCCCAGAAGCTGCAAAAAGTCAGTCCTGGTAAGTCAGAACTGTATAAAGACAAAAGAGCTGTACCATGTCTTTTGATGGACAGAGCTAGGAACCGTGAAGCATGGTTAGGGTTCCCTTTTCATTGATGGGGAAAACCCATCAATGAGCTTGCACTTGTACTAGTTCTCAGGTACAAAACGTCACTGCCAGGGCAGTTGCGATATTGGAAGTCCAATGGTGTCAGATTCTCCTCCTCTCCCCACTTTCTCTCACTATCCTCAAGTAGGCTGATTGCCTTTATTTATTTTTTTCTATTTCTTGTCTTTTAAAAAAGAACAAAAAAACCCACCTTAAATTGCATTAGCAGAACTCTGGAATTGCACAAAAAATGAAAATTCAAAAACCCCAAGTGGTATGCTAGGGTTAAGGGGGAGTGCGAAAGAGATGGCAGAAGCAGCCCAGTCGCACGATTAACAAGATGTGCGAATATGGCTGTTCTGAAACTGATATGTTTCTACCATGTCTGATTCCTGAACTGGCTATGTTTGATGGTTCCTTGTTTCATGCCTTCTTGATTTTCTCTGAGCTATGCTGAGCAGTTATGACAGGGCCTGCAGGAGTTTCTGCTTCTTGTTGCACCACTGCTCACTGGTGGAAGGGGGCTGGATGTGTCATTCTTTAATACCCTGCTGGCCAGCATCACAGAACTCCTTCGGTTCACATGGCTGCCTGGCTTTTAAAGTGGGTATCCTATGCCTACAGGTAGCAAGTGTCCAAAGAGACAGATACTCCTAAAGACTGTTTTAAAATGGGTATTTTTTTGTTCTTTTAAACTATTCTGTGTTTTAATTGATGTTGGTTAGTTGTTGTTCCCTGCCTCAATCCATGGGGAAGGAAATTGTTATTACTGTTATTACAGGGAAGTCAGTTCATGCACAATTAATCCCAGAAGATAAAGGAAGATGCAAGGACAAGGTCTCAGCCAATCCAGAGGTTGTTACACAAAGCCAGTAGTCCAGATATTGAAAGTCAAGAAGGCATGAAACAAGGAACCATTAAACGTAGCCAGTCCAGGAATCAAGAATGCAAAGAAAGAGTGTGGCCATTTAACTGTGACCTCCTCTGCCACTGATCTGGTGCCATGGAGGAAGAGAAGAACAGGTAGTATCTGCTGGAGTTTGTCCTCTCCCTGTTTTCCTTGTGGGTCCTGTGTTATTTAGATTGTAATCAGTCAAATCAACAATTTGTAAGCAGCTCTGAGAGCCTTTGTGGCTGAAGGGAGGGGTATAAATACTCTAAAGAAAGAAAGAAAGAAAATAAATTCAGAACAATGATTGCAAACAAGGATTTCCTGCAGCTGTTAGGAGATTTATGGTAGGCTGTGGTATTATGCCAGATGCTTGATGCGTCAGCATCTTCTGTATAACAGCCAATTTCTGTGAAGTTTTCCTTGAGTGCATCCACACTGTAGAAATAATGAAGTCTGACAACACTTTAAGTGCCAGATTTCCATCCTATGAAATCCTGGGATTTGCAATTTTATTAGGTCTTTTGCCTTCTCTGCCAAAGAGTGCTTGTGCCTCACATAACTACAAACCCCAGAATTCTGTAGAATGGAGCCCTGGCACTTAAAGTTGTGTCAAACTGCATTATTTCTGCAGTGCAGATACAGTCCCTCTCTCTAATGGGCAGGGATGTCTCTTTAGTGTTTTTCAAGTCCTGCACAGGACAGAGCTCCTCAGCTGGTTCAGCCACCAGCTTCTCAGATTTGGGGATGGAGTTGCCTAGAGAAAGAAACATCTCTATGCAGCAAATTCCTCAGATTCCGAGGGTGAGTTATGACAGTGGTTTTTAGGGATCATGGCAATGGTGCCAATGGTAAATGTGAATACCAGACTTTACAAGGTGGCAAGTCTAGCTTATGACACCATAAACACTAAGCGGGATGCCAGACATTGTTTCCACCAGGCCCCCTGAAGTGATGGATTATAAAATATATTCCAAAACATTACTTTAAAACAAGTTAAACAAAAATTTTAAACATCAAAGGCCAGATGTAATGATACAGTTTTGACCACATGCAAGAAGCTCAGTGGAAGAGGAGCCAGACTGATTTCCAGGGGAAGTTTCCATAAGTGAGGTACAGTGGAACCTCTACTTACGAATGCTTCATCCTACGAAATT